ATATATATATATATATATATATATATATATATATATATATATATATATATATATATACATATACATATATATATACATATATAATATATACATATATAATATATATATATATATATATATATATATATATATATATATATATATATATATATATATATATATATATATATATATATATATATATATATATATATATATATATATATATATATATATGTATGTATATGTATGTATATGTATATATGTATTATATGTATATATATATTATATATATTATATATATATATATATATATATATATATATATATATATATATATATATATATATATATATATATATATATATATATACTATATATATATATATATATATATATATATATATATATATATATATATATATATATATATATATATATATATATATATATATATATATATTGTTAAGAGGAGATTTTTTACAAACTCGCGTATTTGGCGGTCAAAACAAATCAGATTGCCGGAATTGCTGAGAAGGCGATAGCACAATGCTGGAAATATAGCCTCGTCGTTTCGTGTCGAGGAGTGTGTCGTTTGAAAATGATGCAGTTTTTAACGCAAATGACAACTGGAAGGGGAGATTTTTGGTGGATAATTAGTCAATTTAATCTTCAAGAAGTAAGGAGATGGATTTAACACGATGAATTTATAATAAACAAAGAATTACAAGCGATGCAATGTTTAATAGTGGCATATTTTGTTTTGACTTGACTGTCATAGAACCTTCGAAGGTATGGTTGAATTTATACTGATTTTCTAGCCAATAACCTGCTTCTAATCAGACTAAAAAATATTAAAAACAAACCTGACGTACTCAACTTACAGCAAACCATATATTGACACAAACTATCGTGTTCGTCCAATATTAACTTTGCAGATTTTTACAAACGATTTCAAAATTTACTGATTTATTTGGAAAGGTGATTATTGATGATTAAATGCAGCATGTTTGGCTATAGCTTTAGAACTAAATGAAAATATTGAACTACAGTATATGTTCTCTTTTTTTAAGATATACTTTCTGCAATTAAATGTATCGATTTTTAAATTCAAAAGCTAAATAGGTTTGAATTTAGTTTTTACTGCTCTTGCCAAATTTGACTATACCATTAGTTCATTGGCAAAACATAATTTCAGCAATTATAAATCACCCGAAACTGCTTCTGATCTAACTAAAATGTTTTTCGCAATAGACCCTGGGTCTGATAGCTTGCAAAAAGTATAATTTGATACAAATTTGAGTGGTAGGTCCATAGTTGTTTTTTAACATTTTTAAAATGAACCAAATTTACAAAAATCAGTGTTTATTTAATTTAACAATCTATTCTTTGCAATCAAGTTTAACTGTTGAAATTTAGCCCAAAACTGTCTCTGATCAAACTAATTCATCTTTAAGAATGAGAACTGGGTATATTAGTTTGCAAAAAGTATAATTTGATTCAAATTTGAGTTGTAGGTCCAACGTTGTTTTTTACCATTTTTAAAATCAACCAAAATCACAATATTCACAGTGTTTATTTATTGAACAGCTCAATATTTGCATTTTTTCTTGGAAAATCATGTGATATATCATGTTTAGTCATATGGACATATCCCTTATTCCATTTTTAACTATCCATATTGATTTAAAAACTGTATGACCATTGTTTATTCCCCCAAATACATCAAGTAGTGGTACTGCACTATTTGGCAGAAATGGACTTTAACAATCTATTCTTTGCCATCAAGTTTAACTGTTGCAAACTAGCCCAAAACTGTTTCTCATCAAACTAATTTATCTTTAAGGATGAGCCCTGGGTATATTCACTGTAAATCTGGGAGTGTTACCACAACACCGAAATCGGTGTAAATTCTTGCAGCTGTGTGGACACCGATTTAGTGTTTACTTACACTCATTTTGGTGTTAAAATACACCTTTCAGTGTTAAATAGATGCCGAATTGGTGTAAATCTACACTACGAGTGTAAAATAACACCTCCGAAGATCTTTTCACACTCTTTTAGTGTAAATAGCTTGCAGCTGTGTGAACACCGAATTGGTGTAAATCTACACTACGAGTGTAAAATAACACCTCCGAAGATCTTTTCACACTCTTTTGGTGTAAATAGCTTGCAGCTGTGTGAACACCGATTTGGTGTAAATCTACACTACGAGCGTAAAATAACACCTCCGAAAGTATTTTTACACTGTTTTGGTGTAAATAGCTTGCAGCTGTGTGGACACCGATTTCGTGTAAATCTGCACTACGTGCGTAAAATAACACCTCCGAAGATATTTTTACACTGTTTTGGTGTAAATAGCTTGCAGCTGTGTGGACATCGATTTCGTGTAAATCTACACTACGAGCGTAAAATGACACCTCCGAAGATATTTTTACACTGTTTTGGTGTAAAGCACCTTGCAGCTGTGTGGACACCAACTGGTGTTAATCTACACTACGAGCGTAAACTAACACCTCCAAAGGTCTTTTTACACTGCATTACGTACTTACTGAATACAGCTACTGTACTGATATGGTTTGTGATGTAAATGTACATCCAATTGATGTCTAAAGTAGCTATATCCAATATAAACTTAATGTAATGTAAAAATACCGTTTTGTATAAATGCTGCTTAAGATTGTATATTATTAACTCAATTTAACTGAATTACTAAGTTAAAGCAATGAAGAGAATAGAAAGTACAAATGTAAATTATATATTTTTAGAGTTTAAAACTATAGTCTATGTCACATATTTCGATTCAGTTGAATCATTTCAACATAGTTTATATCAGTCACAATCCAAATTAAAGTTCATTTTACCAGTACAGGTGATTTGAAACCAATAGATTATCTTTGCTGAATGGCACTTTGACACAGTCGAAGAACACATCAACTATATTGTAGCGCACAAAATCTACAAAGGTTTTGGTGTGCAACTGTCCTTCGTTAAACATTAATGGCCAGCACGTTCCCTTGAAAGATAACTATTTTGCATTAGAGATTATTATAAAGAGTGCACTGTACCTTTTATGGGTTTATAGAACAAACCAAATCTAATTTTTTTTGGTGACATGTCAGAGTAAATATTTGAGATTTGGGTAGAAAGTCTGGCTAAACTATCAACAAGTAACACTTTTTAGGGCAAGTCGAGTGGTATAGGGCATAGTATGATTTAAACAAGGCACATTGGCAGAGAGACCGTTTAAAACCAATTAACCAGAGGAGTAAACTTTTCTGGGATTAACATTTTTAGTCACAGTAAATAATAAACATAGTACATGTATATTTGGGCACTTTAAGTTTAATTCACTGTGAAGTTCTTTTGTATCATTTCAAATCAATATATTATGGCAGTCGAACGCTTGTAATAAATAAATCTTTTTAACCAGAGAATCCTGGTTTCGCTTCCAACATTTTTAAAGTTTATATCTTATTTTATATATCCTACATATATTTTATAACCACTCTATATCCAGTATTTGGCCGGATAATCTGGTAGGATATTTTCCTTCCGTTCGGCATATATGGTATTCGGCTGGATAGTAAAATGTTCTATCAGGTGCATCCCTAATGCATAATAATTTCATTCTCATGGTAGCGGCAGGGAAATAATTAACACACAACTCTAAAGTTGCAATGACATACAATATGAAGTAACTGAAGCACATTTAAATTCAACCAGTTCTAGCTTGCTGTGTGTCTCAGAGTCTGTTATACAATGCCAGCTTTTCCCTTTCAGAACATGCCCCCCTGTGCCAATTTGTCTACAGTCCAAGTAAAATTTGTAGATAATCCTAACTAATTACCCAAAAACCTCATTAGCTATGTCGGATAGTTGAAAGAAAGATATCCGCATTATCCGGCTGAATACTGGATACTGTTGTCGGGTTTAGACTTTCATTTAAGAAAAATAATTAGTTTAATTGATTATAAAATGAGGGTGTTTATAATACTTTGACTTGAAAAGATACTTGAAATCATAGGAAATAACTTCATTCTAAACATGGGTATTGCCAAAGCCTTGCCCACAAAGTTCAAATCCAGTATCTGCCAATATACTGGATAGTAAGATTATCTCACTATCTGCCGATAGAGGGAGGGGGGAATTGCCCTGGGCCCCAACCTTAATAGGGTCCCAACTTGAGAGCCTAAAATTGAGTAGGTCCTTTAAATTGATGAGAGCATTTTTGAAATTGAGGGCCGCTTACAGTAGCTCCACATGCAGTCTAGCTAAGGTCTAGTCATGGGGCCCCCAGAGAAGATTTGCCCAGGGCCCTGCAAATTCTCTCAGCAGCCCCGAGCCTGGATATATCCTGTATATAGTCATTTCAAACCTTTGTCCAAGCACAGGTAGATTCACTCAGTAAGAATGTCATTTTATCTGTTCCGTACAGCGGAACATTTTCAGAGGGCAATTTAACAGCTCTTATATAGCAATAAAGACAGGTGCTTTGAGCTGACCTGCCTGAAAAGTCTCAAGTAAACATGGATGAAATTCTACTTGGTTGTTGGTACAACACTATGTACAATGAACTCTGGTATCTGAGCTACCTCGGTTCCATATAAACACACAACTTGACCAGGGCCGTAGCTAGACCGATAATTGGGGGGGGGGGGTATATTCATATATTGTTTTTACGGTATGTGAACATGAATATATGAATATACACCACCCCAATTACCGCGTCTAGCTACGGCCCTGAACTTGATTCATAAGTCATAAACATTTACTAATTATGGCATTATGCCATCTTAGTGTCTGCATAGTACTTAGCATATTGGGATATTTCTTCAGGGCAATCAGGGGATCATATATAATTTTTGAGCTTGGAATTCCTCAGAGGTATAACTATGAGAAACATGATGTTTGTGATGTTACTCTGAGTGTATATCCACACCGAGCAAGCTTGAAAATATGCCTGGCCACGGTGGGAATCAAACTAAACCTACAACCTTTGGAATACTAGCCCAATGTAGGTACCAACACAGAAAAAATTATGAAAAACATATATTCTGGATGACTTTTTTTGTGTTGGTGTAATGTACTCAGGTGAATATGATACTTGTGATGTTGCGCTGAGTGTATATCCACACCGGGCAACCTAGAAAAATATGCCTGGCCATGGTGGGAAGCGAACCTACGGAATACTAGCCCAATGCTCTGCCAACTGAGCTACGCGGTCAGGATATACACTCAGAGAAACATCACAAGCATCATATTCACCTGAGTACATTACACCAACACAGAAAAAGTCATGATCACTAGATTACATTGATACTGAAAGAACTAGATTCTGTTCCGAAATATCACATACCGGTACTCGAACCGACCTGACCGCGTAGCTCAGTTGGCAGAGCATTGGGCTAGTATTCCAAAGGTCGTAGGTTCGATTCCCACCGTGGCCAGGCATATTTTTCAAGCTTGCCCGGTGTGGATATACACTCAGAGTAACATCACAAGCATCATATATCCTGAATGCATTCAGGAAATTCAGCAATATGTATATTTAGGGTTGTCTGGAATCTATTGATAGGTACAATATAAATATTAAACACAGAGGAGGAATTATTCTCCTCTCATACAAAGCCATAGAACTTGCTTTGGCGATTATATCAATATTAGCTAAATGAATCAATATTGATACCGTCTCAATACATTACAGGTAAACTATGTGAAGCGTTCCTCTTTTGACTTCATAACTCATTTGGAATTTTCCTCATTAGCTTTGCAAATTTGAAAAACTCTTGCAAATCCCTTGAGGGAATGAGCAATGTTCCTATCGACTGTTGCAATATTCCAATACAAATGAACTTCATTTTAAATTTTCCTAACTTCCTGTTTTAATTTCCTAACTTCCTGTTCTGTTCTGAGCGTTGTTATTGGTCGATTATTTTTGTTATCCAATTGCAACGCCCAGAACAGAACAGGAAGTTAGAAACTTGTAACAGGAAGTTAAGAACTTCTAACTGGAACTGAGGAAAATTTAATTGGCTTTTAGCAACATTGCAAATTCCTTCAAGGGATTTGCAAGGGAGTTTTTTAAATTGCAAAAGTAATGAGGAAAATTGCAATCAATTTAGAAACTCAAAAGAGGAATGCTTCACGTAGTTTACCTGTAAACTATATTCATACCTTCTTGTAGCCTGTAGTATTCTAGTTTGTTGTCGTTACATTTACAGGTATCATGATTTCGACAGTTCGACTTGCTTGGAGCACATATTATGACAATATTTATTGCTTGGAATTATAATCTGTAAATCCAAAGCAATATCACTAAGTTTTAATGTATTTTAGTAACAATATATTGTTGAACCCAATACAAAATACAAATGCGACCAACGGCACGGCGGTTAAAAATATACATGAATACAACTATTTATGGCATTGACATAGTTTAACACTTACATTTAAGATTATTGTGTGGATCTTCAAAAATTGGAGTATTTCTTCATATTTTCGTAAATATTTTAAGAAACTTGGCCAAATATTTATCAACCAGCGTTATAAAATTTCCAAAGGACGCGCTTGAAATGTGTCCCGCTAAGCCTTCTGGGAGCCCATATATGGCAACGCGATTGACTGAATGCGCTGATCTCAATCATGTGAACAATCCAGTGCAAATTAAACTGTATTCATGCGGTTTTTTGACAGAAACTTTTAATTCTAATTTCTATCTTCAAAATTCTAGCTGTCTTATTATATCTTGCTTAAACGACAATAATCAAAGCATTTACGACGCAATATAAGCTCCACACCTAATTTTATGAATTTTAGTTATCACGGCTGTCTGACTGTACGTAGGAGATCTACCACTCTGGAGACTACAGTTACGTATCCGCCCCCGTAGAAAATTTGCTAGATTGGATATAAATAATTATGAAATAAACCAAGACGAATTCCACGTAAACTCCTAGGAGTACTATAAACTCAGTTTCAGGCCAATTAAATTCGATAAAATGACTCAGGGCCTCTTTTAACATATAGACTGCGAGGACATGTCCCCCCCCCCAGCCCTCTTAGTGGCCCCTCCAGTCAGCAATTTTGTCCCTTCCCCCAGTGCAAGGTCCCTAAGAACTATCTGCAGTAGGTGGTCAACCAGCAATTGTATATCAAAGTGAGAAAATAATGTTATAAGCTGTTAACATTTCTGAATTTGACCATCATCTGCAGGTCAGTAACTAGCTATGAGTCAACCGAGTCAGTTGCATGCCTCGGTAGGAATTTTGGGGACTGGAATTTAAACATCCCCAGAAAAACCTAAACCATGGCTGAAATCATTTGCTCGTGGAAAAAGGCATGACATGGCATTTTAGGTTCTAGTTTAGTTTTTCCAAGCAAAGATACTCCAAAGAGACCACCCTATCGTGCTCTTCAGTGACACTGAGAAGCGAATGCGTCGATATCAAGTACCCCAATACATGTAATACAGTACCAACCTCGTTCCCAGGTAAAATTTGAAGTGTGGTGAATGATAATACTATACCACGCACATTTTCATTACCGCCATCATCACATCATGTTGCCTTATTGGGACTGGATTACATTTGGGAGATTGTAAAATTGCAGTAATTATGTCACTGTTTATAAAGTTAATTTCTTGTTGGAACACTCCTCAAAATGCTGGAAATAGCCTGTCTGAGCTTCAAATTCTGGTGTATGTTTACACTTTACACTATCATGGTGTTATCACATACGCCAGAATTAGCTAGGTACATTTACACCATTTGAGGGTATGTTTACAGCATAATAGGTGTTAATACTTCGTTTAATTTTCTACTTTACACCAGATCAGTGTATCTTAAAATCGTCTAGTGTAATTATACACCAGGTTCAGTGTAGATTTGCACGAAGTAAGAATTCATGTTTTTTACATCATACCGGTGTATATTTACACAATCATGGTGTTATCTCATACACAAGAATAGGCTAAATTTACACCGTTTGAGGGTAAGTTTACACCATTAAAGGTGTTAATACTTCGGTTTCTACTTTACACCAGATCAGTGTATCTTAAAATAGTCTTAGTGTAATTATACACCAGGTTCAGTGTAGATTTACACTAAGTAAGCATTCATAATTTTTACGCCACTCCGGTGTATATTTACGCTATCATGGTGTTATCCCATACACACGAATTGGGTAAATTTACACTTGTTAAGGGTAAATTTACACTGCAATAATAGTTAATACACTAGTTTCTAGCTCCGTGTATTTTCACGCGTTCTAGGTGTAATGATACTCCAGGAAAGTGTAAATTTACACTTCGCAAGTGTTGGTATACTTTACACCGAATAAGAGTATATTTACACTATCGCAAGGTGTAAATTAACAGGGAAAGAGGTAATGTTACACCGTTCTAATGTAAATCTACACCGAATTAGGTGTAAATCACGGTGGCCGTAGAAGACACGAAATTCGGCAATGGTCGAATAACTTTCTGTCGTTAGTTCGGAATATCACGAAACTTCTCCACAGTATGGAATTTGACATTCCTGAAAATCCTATGTTTTTTGTTTTTCGATATTGTTACATTTTGGCGGGAAAATGACGTTCCAACTTTGGCGCCAAAAAAATAAACAGCAGTTAAGAACATGCCAGTAAATTTTTTGAAGAGATTGTCTCATAAGGATCTCAAAACTGCAAAAACATTGAACATACAACAAGGCAGTCCGAAGATATGGCAATTCGAATTTCGAAAAAAATCTATTTTTAGTAACAAAATGGCGGATTTTTCAGATTTTTAAGCACCATATCTCTGCATTGCTTTGGCGTATGTTCAATGTTTTTACAGTTTTGAGATCCTTACAGTACAATCTCTTCAAAAAAATGACTAGCATGTTCTTAACTCAAATTTAATTTTTTGGCGCCAAAGCTGGAGCTTCATTTTCCCGCCAAAATGTAACAATATCGAAAAACAAAAAACATACGATTTTTAGGAATGTCAAGTTCCATCCTGTGAGGAAGTTTCGTGATATTCAGAACAAACTACAGAAAGTTAGTCGACCCTTGCCGAATTTCGTGTCTCTTACGGCCACCGTGAATAGAATATTTTCTACTTTACACCTAGTAAGTGTTACCGAGACACTAAAATAGTGTAAAGTTACACTGTGGAAGTGTAATGTTACACTCGAACGGTGTTTAATTCCGCGTTACACCTAATTAGTGTAATGTTACACCTTTTTGGTGTTGCCGCAACACCGCGAGATTTACAGTGTAGCGGTAATAATATAATTTTGGGTACCACCTTGGCAACAATAGAATCTGATAAGGCAAGCATGTTTAACGACCATTCATGCAATGATGATTACCACTCAAGTGACGAAGAATGTACAATTGACTATTCATGCATTCATCATTACGTTTCAAATGACGAAGTTAGCACAATTAGGCCTCGTTTACACTATACCGGAGTGCTATCGGAGTGGGTCAAATTTTGTAGGTATCGAAAGGCTGTGAAGATTTTTAATCTTAGAAACCCAAATAAACATGCCAATTCTGTCAAACTCATAAGCATTTGCTACTAACCATTGTTCCGTAACGGCAAAAGAATATGTCGTGACCAGCGAATCCTCCGATATAGTGTAAACAGGGCTTTCGTGAGCACTCAAGTATCTCAATTACAGTTGACGAGGCTAGTGTTGATTTTACAGATGTTAGTGTTAATTTTATAGATAATTCCTCAACTCCAACTTTTCAGAAACAGTTAAACCAATACCGAGAGAAACAACAAATTTCTTTCTCTAAAGGATTTCATGAAAGCGTCGAAATCTACGGAAGCCGTGAAGGGACTTCAGACTTCAGACTTCAAACATTGGTTCCGAGCTTCGCTAATAGCCAACATTGCTTCTGCGAAGCTGGCTAATATTTAAGGCACTTATTCAGTCAAAGCTATTCAAACTAAAGTTAAAAATGGTCAGAATGATTTAGATTGTAAATGCAGACTGTTGGAATGTGTCAGTGAGTTCTGAAAGTTCTTTGCAGGTTTAAACGCAGAACGATAAAACATTTAATACTATTGTTTACAGAAACACCACGTAAATTTATTACTGTAGTAAATTTATTAACTTTATTCTGTAAATTTATCAAGTTAAGTATAACACGCGCTCAAACTGACTAATGCGTATAAATAAATATACCACTTGAGGTTATGACTAAATTCAAAATTTTAATTTTTCGAAACGT